TATAAATCAGTGCCGATAACCAGTCATTATAAATCTGAATATTGCTGCTACTTGTCTTTCTGGTAGAGAAATACACAAACAGCTCAAGAAAATGGTAAATTATAAAGATGGAAGTACCTATTGAAGAGACTTGGTGAGCGCATTGGAGTTGAAGGATCTGGTGTAGTTGGGGAGCCTGCATGGGGTTTCAGGATTGGCCTGGAAAGGTTGGGTGTGGATTGTAGGGGAAGAAAAACAGCTTTGCAGGTGGGAGAACTGCCTTGAGTACTATGTGCAGGGGTGGGCATCCCCATGAAGCCACCACCTGACGGGCTGGGGGGGCAGATGTAGCGCGTAAGATGGGCTGGCCCTTGGGGGGATATTGTCAGCGGTCAAAGCTGTTGGGGTCCACCTGATGACCACGAGGGCCCCTGTGAGCCAGGAGCAAGTGGGAGCCCTGTCCCGGTCCCTCTCGCGGCTTCCCTGGTGGTCCATCTTAAAGCCCCTGCCCCAACTCTTGTGTGTGGTGCTGTCCAAGCCACTCAGGGCTTAGGGCTTCTGAGGAGGCAGCGTCAGGGTCAGCTCTTAGTTCAGTGTCATAAGTACCAGTATAAATAACTGCCGCTTACAGAGCCCCGGGGTATGACGAAGTGCCACACACATTACCCCGTGACCTTCACAGCAACCCTGTGAGTGCCCCTGTGAGGAAACTGAGGCTCGGGGCCTCGTTCCCCCAGGCAGGGCTGCTATGCACTGGAGAATTCCCTGTGGGTCAGGCTGCCTCCAGGGCCCCCGCTCTTCTTCTCTGTGCCTCAGGGTCTGTCCGGGTGTAATTACCTGAGTACACTCCCAGCATCACACTCGAGCCTCCTAAACTCACAGATTTCCCGAACTAGCAGCTGTGATGTGCCTGGGCATGGATTGGCTTGACGCTGAATCCCATGCGTTTCTTCACCTTTGAAGATAGATCAGAACATCACACCACATCAAAACTAAACTTTGCAGTGCCTTATGAAGCACCCATGTGCTTGAGCCCATGATATGAAAGGCGTCAATGAAACGGAAAGTGGCAGTGATTCTGTTGACCCACAAAACAGTTGAGTGATTATTTACAGCCGCATTTCCTAGAACATTGCAAACAAAACAAAAGCAAAATACATTTGCTTACCTGAAATCGAACCAGGAGCTGTGAATTAGAAAGTGATTCTCATTCTATTACGTCATTTATAGAATGACATGGCACAGCAGGTCACATTTAAGTTAGTCTGGAATGTTTAGATTACCTCTGATCACTGCTAATGAATTGTATTTTTCTCGATGATGATGATAAAACCAGGGCTGGGAGGATAGTGGTGTTATAAGTGCAATCCTGTCCATTCTACCTGCTGCTCCAGCTGTGGCCCAGCCTCAGGACTCAAGGCAAGCATCTGCCCAAGCTGGTAGACAGGTGGTTCTACACTCTCCCAGCAGAGATCTTAGTGGGAGCTCTTTTCTCCTGGGCTGGCCCAGAGCAGAAACCTGAAAGCAGAGGCTTCCCAGAGAAGCCTAAACTGCAGGGGTCCCTGCCAGGGGGATGGCAGCATTGATTTGAATGTGAGGGTGCCCACCCCTCTCTGGACACACAGGACTTAAAAGGAGAAAACTGGCCGGGCGCGGTGGCTCACGCCTGTAATCTCAGCACTTTGGGAGGCCACGGTGGGTGGATCACCTAAGGTCAGGAGTTCGAGACCAGCCTGGCCAACATAGTGAAACCCTATGTCTACTAAAAATACAAAAACAAATTAGCCGGGCATGGTGATGGGCGCCTATAATCCCAGCTACTGGGGAGGCTGAGGCAGGAGAATCGCTTGAACCCGGGAGGTGAAGGTTGCAGTGAGCTGAGACCACACCACTGCACTCCAGCCTGGGTGACATGAGTGAGACTCCATCTCAAAAAAATAAAATAAAAACAAATGGATTAAAGATATGAATGTAAAACACAAAAAGTAAAAATCCAAGAAGAAAATTATGTTTATCGTAGGAGTAAGTGTGAAGTTAGGAAACCCAAAGAAACAACGGGCAAGGGGGATGAACAGGCAGTTCACAGACATGGAATTCAGATTGCCAGGAAATGTGTGAATGGTGTTCAAGTCTGCTGGTATTCCAAATGCAGATTAAGGCAACAGTGTGCTCAATGGCTGGCACAGCATTGCCCAGAGCAGTAAGCCCTGTTCACTGGCCTTGAGGGGAGAGGACTTTTCATGCTTTCTTGATGGGATGTCGAGTGTTAGCACCTTTTGGTGACACCCAGTGAAATAAAAAATACTACAGCCTTCAGACATGCTTCTGGGAATTTCACCCTAAAAATAAAAGCACCTTACTTGGGAATGTCTTCATAAGCGTCTTTATGGCAGCTTTGTTTGTAGTGACCAAAAAAATGAAAAAGGAAAAAACCAATGCTGGGTATCGAGGGAACCCAATAAGCAGGCAAAAGTTTGAATAAATGGTGACAAGTCCATATTATGAAAAGAATTTATCAGAGGCAAACCAGTTGACTCAGAAACATTTCCAGGAGGCATTTTGAGTAAGAAGTTAACATGTGCATAAGGATGTATAGAATATTCCATTTTTGAGAAGTAAACAATGACCAAGAAGCTCCTCCATCTATTTCTGTATCCTTCATGCGTGGAGCGTTTGCGTGCCTGTGCCCGTGTGTGTATAATGCATTTCACGTGGCAACTGTGACTCATCGCGGGAGACTGGCTGTGGGCAGGTGCTGTCGTCCGTGGGGGAGAGCCTGTCTGGTCGCTCCTACTTTTGGTACCAAAACTTTAATTGCTCTTCCAGGACTTAGATAATGCTTTGGAGAATTCTTGTAGCCTTATAAAAGGAATGTGAAGGACTAGTTAGAATCAGTGCACCCACACAGCCTAACGAGCCACGTAAAGTTGACTAGACAGATCATCAAATGCAGATATGTATACACACACACACACACATACACCCTCTGTGCTGGCTAAAGGTGGAGTGAAACTGGCCTAACCCCACTGTTCTCCAGGGGGATTCAGTGAGGCCCGAATCCCCTGCTCTTGTCCTGTCCTCTCACTGTTGCCTTTCAGTGTCTCCTGCACCCCAGACCACCGGGTAATCTCCTCTATTGGAGGCCACGTACCTCCTGCAGAGAATGTGCCCTGTGGCTGTAGACTTAGGCAGTGGTGGGGCTGAGAACCCAGGGCGGGAACGAGTGGTTTCTCTTTGCAAAGTGGCTCAAATTCAGTGTGGAAAGAACGGAGCCTTGGTGGAATGCAGGCTAATGCAGTGAATGTTTGTGCCTAAATGACCGCGTGGGTCTCTGCAGGTGCAGGATGAGGAGTCCAGTCTTTTCTAGTGCCATGAAATTCCCGCTGCAGCTGCCTGCTGCTCCCTGGACGGGATTTCCTCTCGCTGCCAGTGGGAGGGGTGGGGAGGGCTGGAGGTGGCCAGGGAGTCTGTAGACAGAAGACGTTGCCAGCTCCCGGCCCCGCCGCCTTCCCCGCACACTTGTAGCGCTGTGACTCCCGGCCCTGCCGCCTTCCCCGCACACTCGTGGCGCTGTGACTCCCGGCTCTGCCACCTTCCACGCACACTCGTGGCGCTGTGACTCCCGGCCCTGCCGCCTTCCCCGCACACTTGTAGCGCTGTGACTCCTGGCGGTTCCCTGTGTTCTTCCACAAGATTGGCACTTTTCTTCTCCCACCCCCACCCTCCACCCATCTGCTGTTTATTTTTGTTGCTGCTCTGTGTGTTGCATGGACGCTTTAGCAGCCGCGACGCCTACGTGTTCACAGGGCCCACTCAGCCTCCCCGCCTCACATATCGTAAGTGTGGAGTTCAGTTGCCGCAGAGCCTTTTGCCTGATCAGTTTTTAATATCTACCTGATGTCGCGGGTTGATTGAGTTTGGAACTTGTTGAAAGGCACTTGTGTAAAAACGTGTGAAGAAAGCTGCCTTTATGAAAGCAGATGTTTCCCAAAGGACTTGACCCCCACCCCAAGTATTTCTGCAGGGATGGTGTGGCTGTGCAGAGGTGAGGGTGCCTCCATGAAGCACTTTGGTGAGAATTTGTTCACCTGGCGAGGGGTTTGCTTAACAATTCATCTTAACCTAATTAAGTTTGCATTGTCCCTCAAACACCAGGTTTGGGGGGTAAAACTCATAGAAATACTGAAATATAGCAACATTGTTGAAAACCTGTGGTTATGTAAATATCCTCAGAACCCTTTGTGCTGGAGTTATATGAAATCTCGATTGCTTTGGCAGCAGCCTTCCAACGGGGCTGCAGGGTGCAGGTGGAGGTGACCTTTCCAACAGCAAGGAGAAGGGCCGGAGAGGCACCTGGACTCACGGCAGCCCTTTCCTGAGCCCTTCCCAGGGGTGGAGGGCCAGAGAGGTGCGCTCCATTTATGGTTCATCTTTATAGCAACCCTGGGACACAGGCATTGTCATGCCAACTCCATAACTGATGACCAGGGAGTGTAAGTGACGTCACCAAGGTCAGAAGCCACAGAGGGGCACCAAGATCCCAGTTCAGGCCTGTCTGCCGCCGAAGCCTGTGTCCCTAACCAGGATGTGAGGCCCCCACTCATTACATAACAAAACTAGAAAAACTTGACTGCTTATTTATGGAAAAAAAGGAGCATTTCTAATCAGATATGTTTTCGGCAGGTGGTTCCTCCCAGAAATATGAAATCACAAAGGATATAAGATTCTGTTTTAAGCGGCGGCCTGCAGAATCTCTTTTTCCTTTCTTCTGTGCCAGGTTAATGTTAGAAACTTCAGCTTATCCCTGGGTTCTCCTTGGCTGGGGAGTGTCCTGTGCTCCTGTCCTAGCCGTGGCTTTCTTCAGTGAGAGGTGAATTGTGGCGATGCTTCGGCCTTTGGGTGTGGCCAGATTGGCTTCCGTGAGAGGCAGCAGGGAAAGGTGGGCAGAAACACCTGACTTCTGAAAGCACTGAGGAGGAAAAGTGTCTAACAAGGCGGCAGGTGAATGGAGAAAGGCCGCAGATACCAGCTTGATACAGAGAGGAAGGGCTGCAGGCACCCGCCCCGGGTCTCACGATCACACTCACAGCCCCTCACATCTACCTTGGGTGGAGAATTTAAAACACAAGCAGGAGCAGCCAGGGGGCCCCGAGCAGTCGGGGAGCAAATGAAAGCACTCTTCCCGACGTGCCAGGAGGTCAGCATGGCGCCTCCAGGGAGGACCAGCTCTGCCAAGGGAGCTGCTGGGCAGATGATGACTTTGCATTGTACAGTAGAGCCCTTGGCTACTTTTTTGGGACAGTGTTTAATTATAGCAGAACAGCCCAGTGATGACGACAGAGTCACATGACGGTGGAGCAGCTGCATCCCGTGTGCCATGCCAGGACTCAGTGACGTGGCCCACATGCTGCCAGCTATAAATCAGGGTGTGTAGCCTCGATTCAAAAGCCCTGGCCTTTTGAAGGTGGCTAGCCTTGTTGGCCACTCCCTCCTGAAGAGAGGGGGACAGGACTTCCGACTGCTGCCTGCCTGGTCACTGGGGTGGCTCCCTGCCCAGCGTTCTGTGCCCTGACCTGGAGCCAGCTTTGTGCACTGCCCTCCAGACCCCTGGCCTCTCTCAGGTTCCAGCTGACGAGGACACCCCTCTGGTATTATGGGCACTGAACGGGTACTCAGTCCCCCTAAGGGACACCCCTCTGACCACAAGGACCCCACTTTCCGCCATCACTCACGCCTGATGGGCCAGCTCCTTTGAGTCTTGACTAGTGCAGAGTGATCACTACAGAGACCCCCGAGAAGAGAGGCATGGGAGTGACAGAGGCCACCAGGGAGGGACGCACAGTCACAGAGCACATTGTGTCTTCCTCAGCTTCCCCCACAACGAGACAGGCCCCTGCCACATGTGGCGCTGTCTTGTAGGTGTTGTTCCTCTTCCCAAGGAGTGTACTGAGGAAAAGCCCACTCGGGCCCCTCTGCCTCCCGACAGATGAGCTTTCCTTTCTCCCCAGGGTTTGTTTCACAAGGGCCATGCCATCCTAAGCTCTGTGCAAAAGCCTGGAGTTCAGCGTCACAGGTCCCAGTGACTTCTGTAACTGGGCAGCAGCCTCGTCTGCAGAGGGGGAGACCGAGGCAGGGGCGGCAAGTAACATGTTCACACAGCCGGTAACCAAACCCCAGGGCCACGGCTTTCCCTTCCTCCCACCTCCCAGACAAGTGCCTCCAACCCTGGCCCTGCTTGCTGGTTCTGTGGCTAGTTTGGGGGGCGGGTGGTGCCCTGCCCCAGGGATATTTTTAAATTGAAGTATGATTTACACTTAGTAAAGTATACAGATCTTCAGTGTCCAGCTTGGCAGATCTGTACATGCCCATAGGGGTAGCCATCCCCTAGGTTAAGGGATGGACCCTTTCTAGCTCCCAGGCAGCTCCCCATCCCCTGTCCCACATTGTCCCCCTTTAGGTAACCGTGACTGTCACCTCTAGCCGTGTGGATTCGTTGTCCATCCTTGGACTTCGTATGAGTGGAATGCTGCAGTCCGTACTCTTTCGTGTCTGGCTTCTGCTTCATGTTATGTTTGTGAGGTTCATCCTCATTGTTGCTTGGACCTGTGACTTGTTCTTTTTCGTTGGTGTGTAGCATTCAGTTGTGTGAATCTAGGAAAATATACCCCTTCTGCCTTGTGGACAGGTGGTCAAGGATGACAGGCAGTCGGCTTTCAGCTTGGAGCTCTTAGGACTAAAACTGCTCCTGAGGCTTGTCTTCCAGTGGCATATGAAGATGGCTTATGTTCGTTGTGCGCTCAGGAGTGCGGTTGCTGGAGAGTTCTGCTGAAACGTCACCAGCAGGCATTCTTGTGGGTCCTGCAGACACACTGCCAGCGGCGCCTTGTGTTTCCGTTAGAATGCAGGGTGCAGGTGTCCTGGGCAGGCTGCTGGGAGAGGAGGGGTGACTGTTCCTCTCTGTGCCCCATGCTGAGCCTCACTGAAGGCACTTCCTCTCCTTGCTTCTGCCCTCCCATCACATCCCAGGGTGAGCTCCACAAGTATTGCACTGCTTGGGATGAAGCTGACGGCAGATTCAGCAGCCAGAGCGGCAAGTCTGGGTCCATTGCCCCCCGCCAGCTCCCTGACAATGAGACCGACTGTGGCTGGGCACCATTTGGTAAGTCGATCATCGGTCCGTCCAGGAGCTGAAGCGGCTGTCCTTCCAAGGTTCTTCCAGCCTCGCTGTTAATAACTTTAGCAACAGTAATGCCGTTCCCAGATGAAACTGCATTTCCATGTCAGCCCCCTCTCCTACCCAAGAGCACGTGACTTCACCGCCACTGTGTCCGTAGCACCTGTGTGCGGGGCTGTTCCTCCTGAAAGAAGGTTCTCTTAATAGGGAGATGTGCTGCAGATCATTTGCATTTTGTATTTCAGACTTGCAGGGCATAGTTCCGTGGGCGGGAAGAAGAGAGAGACACGAGGGGCTGGTGTGGGTGCTGGCCTAGGCAGGCGTGCTGCAGAAAAGCCAGTGGACACGTAAAACAAAAGGCATCAATCAAATGTGCAGCCACCATGCACAATGGGGATTTTATCCCATCTGAATGATGCCTGCATTATATTTAGTGATTATTTGAAACTGCGGTGACTTCATTTTCCTTTGCGAGAAACTGAACGGAAAATGCACCGCCTTGTTTTCTGTGTGGAAAACCACGCGTTTCACTAAGTACACCCAGATTTAGAGAACAGATGCTTTGTGTTTTATAGCCGTGCTCTAGAACATACACTAAACAATACTGAGCTTTTCCTGTTGATTTTCAAATTCGTGTAGATAAGAACAACTATCAGCAGCTGCTTGGGGCCCTGGACTACTCCTTCCTGTGCGCCTATGCCGTGGGGATGTACCTCAGGTACGTACAAAGCAGACATAGTACAGGGGTGACCTTGCTTTATAGCAGCCTGCTCTCACCTCTCACGATAGCTCATAGCTCTTTGGTTTTCCAGACCCTTCCTGGTTATCTGTCCCCTCCGTGCAGAGAAGGCGTCCGCTATGCTGACGTGCACAGGCGCGCGGGAGTGAGGCCCCCGCTTGCCAGTGGCTTCCCTGCTGTTCCCTCCCCAAAGATGAGGCCAAGCTTAGGAGAGAGCAAGCGCATGTGCTGTGCCCACAACACGGGACCTCAAGGCCGAGGATTTCCGTGTCCCAGGCACTGTGCCAACTGACACAGGCTGCCCTCAGCTTTCCTGGCCCTGGGGTTTAGGACCTACCATGAATCCTGCCGATCCTGGGACGTGGTCATTCAGGAACAAGGGGACTAGCTTCCTGTTTAGCAGAGCCTGACCTCTCCTGTGGTTCAGGGGCTGCCATCTGTTTACATGCCCCAAATAACGAATTTCACCTGATGATCGGAGCAGTTGACACAGGATGTGCGGAACAGCTCTACCTGGATGCCCAGCTTGGCCCCAGAACTGAGCGCAGCAGAGGCAGCCCTGCGTGGCGGGCGGGGAGCTCCGGAGAGAGACCCGCTGGGATCTGAATCCCGGCTCTACCACCTGCTAGGATGTGGTCTTGGGCATGTTACTATACCTCTTTGGGCCTCAGTTTCCCCTTTGCAACATGGGAGAAATAATAGTTCTTATGTCACAGGATTGTGGCAAAAATTGAGTTAATGTATGTAGAAGCTCAGAATGGTGCCTGGCCTGTGCTGCCAGCCCAGCCCATTCTTCATCCCACTTTGAACTGACCAAGGCAGGTGGCAAATGTTATATGGGTCATAAAACATTTTATGTGATTGACTGATTGAAAACTGCTATTGTGGCAGTCCAGCCAGGTTTTTTTTTTTAAGGCAGTATAGGGATGTTCTAGCCCATTTTCTGTTGCTAGTAGCACAGTATCTGAGATTGAGTAATTTATAATGAGAAAAGGTGTATTTAGCGCTTCTCTAACTGGGAAGTTCAGGTTTGGGCAGCTGCATCTGGCAAGAGCCTCACGCCACACTGTAATGTAGTGGAGGGCGTCGCCTGGCAGAGGCCCCGTGAGATGGGTTAGCAGTGAGCAGGGCATACAAAACACACAGCACAGGGGTGACCTTGTTTCATAGCAGCCCGCTCTCACCTCTCACAATAGCTCATCAGTCCTGAGAGCGCGGCCACTTACTCCTGCACATTCATTCCTTCGTCAAGGCAGATCCCTCATGACCCAAATGCCCTTCAAAGCTCCCTGCACCTCTCAACGCAGTTATACTGGGAGCCAAGCCTCAATACAAGTTTTGATGGAGACCAACCATAGCGAAACCACAGCCAGGGACGGAGGCATGTAGTCCCAAGAGGCTTTTGTTCAGAGACAGAGGTCTTTACAGCCTGGAGAACCCCAGGGATCCCCATAAATGTTTAGCTGCTTCCCTGAGACCCGCTCAGTGTGGGATCATCAAGACCTGGCCGCTCCCCCGCTCAGAGCCCTGGTGGGTGGGTGGTGCCCAGGGAGGCAGTGTCTGCTGTCGGAGGAGAGCGCATAGCTCTCCCTTTATTGAACGTGTGCATTTGCCTCCTGCTGCAGAACTTGTCTGAGTGAGCAAATGAACAATAAAGGTTTGGAAGCTCAGAGTGTGTGATGCGCAGCCGAACATGAGCCTAGCTGGAGAGAGTGGTGTGTACCTTGGGCTTCCTTCGGGCCTGGGTCTCAGCCAGGCTGCCAGACCTTCTCCATTTTGAGGTCAAATGTTTATATTCCCCAGACTGCAGTCTTACTGAACACAAATAATCTGTGGTATAAAAAGACCCAACGTGGGAGTGTGTTTTTCTCAGTTACTAGAAAACTGTATTTAAATCTGGTTCTCAACTGGGGGCAGTTTTGTCTCCTAGGGGACATTTAGTAATGTCTAACGACGTTTGTGGGTATCACAGCCAGGGAAGGGATGTTGCTGGCATCTAGTGGCTAGAAACCAGGGTGTTGCTAAACATCCTACAACATGCAGGACAGCCCCTAATGCCACAGAATTACCGGAGCCAAAATATCAATAGTGCTGAGGTTCAGAAAGCCTGTTTTACGTAAATAAACTGGTTTCTTGTTGCTTATTTATCGGTAAAGATAATTCTTACGCACCTTGTCAGTAAGGTTATTAAAACAAAATTTGGTCTAATGTGACATCTACACAGTGAACTCATGACTGAAACAAGGGCACACGCTGCTGCATTGAAGGGCCTTTTTGTGTGAGTCCCTACCTGAGGTCTCAGCAATGGGTGGTTGCTCGCTGCGCCAGATGAAATCAGATATGAGAGGGTACAGTCATTCAGCCCAGGTACTGCCTGGAGGGTTCAAGCAGGTGCAGCGTGGACTTGAATCCCTGTATGAGTCCCATATAATGTGACATGGTGTTTGTTCAGTTAGACCTTTTCTTTAAAAGTTTTCAGTAGAGATCAAAGTGGGCCCAAATCATACAGCAAGATTAGAGAACACTTCTAAGCCTAGCCAGCAGCACCAGCTCTCCGGAGCCCATCTGGTTCTGCCAGCTGTGCTGTGACCTGGGCAGGTCAGCCAGCCTCTCAGGGACCTAGCTCCTGGTCTCTGGGGTGGGCAGGTTGAAGTCGGTAACTCTCTAGCTCTGGAATGCTCTTGAGTCTGTGTGTGGTGAGGTTTTAGCTGAAATTTTTACCTGGATGTTGTCATAATTTTAAGTGACTTTCTTCTGCTTTAGTGTTTAAAAGGTCATTTCCTTGATCTGAGGTAGATCTTTTTTACTTGGTGGATTCGGAAGGAAAAGCTCTCTGGTGTGGGTTCTTGAGATGAAAGCTGAGAACATTGGAGCTGACTCCGGCAGTGGGGTTCACGGCAGGCAGGTGTCACTGTGTGTTAGGTTTCCTGTTTATCTGACTCCTAGAGTGACCCTCCAGAAGAAAGCGAGACCCATAGAGTCTCTGATGCTTGCGAAGGGCTCACGTCCATCCATGACACTCTACAGCTTTTCTATTTACTTAATAAGTCACAATGTTAAGTTGGTCCATAGTGACATTTCCCGTAAAACAGTGAGGGATGTTTTGGGTAACATTAGGTAGTGTGCTGTGATGGCAGCTAAAGACTGTTAAGTCTGTGCCCTGCTGTGAAGCTGGAGACATGCTTTACCACCCCTGTCGAGGCTGTTTTAGTGAGGCTGAGCATCCTTTATGCCACCAAGTCTCCAGACAGCTCTGGAAGGTAAGACACCAAAAAGGGTAGCTGATTAGTGAGTTGCATTGCTGTTCAGAAGGATGAGAGAGATGCCACCCCGGCATTTCAGACCTTACCATGGAACAAATCTTCTGCCTTTAAATCAGGTCAAAGTGGCGGCAGGAGGTGGTAGTGGCAAACAGCTGCAAGCCACTTCCCCACTGAGCCCAGCCAGCCAGGTGTATTAACACAGGTGACTTCATTACAGCTCGTGGGGCCAAGTGACTTGCTCTGGGTCATAAGTGATCTCTTTTCATGACATTTGGTGTAGTTCAACAGTTGGAATTTTAAGACACTGTATACATTTACTGGATATGGTTTATGTGAAAGCAGGATTAACTAGCAAGACAAGTTCCTGTTTCCTTTCACTGGCAACTATCATAAATAAGTCATAGCGTTTGAATTTTATTATTTGACAGATAGTGACATTGACTAGAAATAAAATCTTCTAAGATGTTGCCAGTCTCTGGTTTCTGGTGAGTAAACACTCCGTAGGGAAATAGGTGTAAGAAGTCTTCCTGGAAATTGTAAGGCTTGAGAGTTCCCCAAGCTCAGAGAACAGCACGAAAGCATCCGGCACGAAACAGCCGCCGGGTTGTTAACATTCGGGTGTGTTTGTTATTCCTATTTGTCTTTCCTTCTCTCCGCCTCAGTGGCATAATTGGGGAACGCCTGCCGATTAGGTATTACCTAACTTTTGGGATGCTCGCCAGTGGAGCCTTCACCGCCCTGTTCGGCTTAGGGTATTTCTACAACATCCACAGTTTCGGATTCTACGTGGTAACTCAGGTAAGGGTTTGGGTCCATGGCTCACCACATATGGGGTTTCCTTGGTGAATAGGGTGGGGTGTTTATGTCACATGTCACCTGTGTCAAGATGTTGGGAAGGGGCAGAAGTACGTCCTGTCCGAAGTCAGGGTCAGCTGACATAATAAGTCCTTCCTTTCTCTTCTGCTCGGAAATTCCGGCAGCCCGGAGGTGTTTCTTCGTTTCAGGAGTTGCCGCATAAAGAACGCGCCTGTCGGTGCCCTGGCAGGGAGACTGACGTGCAGAGCCCTTAGGAGCCACCCTGTCTTCATGTGGATAAGTTTGAGATGTTTCATCTTGCTAAAGATTTGACCACTGGGGTTGGAGGGTGTGTCCTCCAGCTGAAGCCCTAGCTGGAGTCAGCCTAACAGCGGTGGCAGGGAGTTCCCACCAGGGAGTGCCCCAAACCGTCCCAAGATGGGGCTGGTTGGGATTCCAAAGAACACAGCACTAACTGCTGGGTGATCCGTTTAAAGCGTGTATTAGGGGAACTTACGTACCGAGGCTGTAGTATATAGTCTTGACACGCAGCGGGACAGGGCGTCCCACGCAGGTCTGTCTGCACCGAGGGATTGGTGTATGGAGTTTGTATGAGGGTGTAAGGAATTTGGCCCAGGGCCAGGGCTACTTTCTTTCCATGTTTTGGGTCAGCAACTGAAACACCTTTGTCAGTGCCTAGGAGTGTTCAGGGGCCAACTTGGGTCCCAGCCTACAAAGGAAAACCTGCAGCTGGTCGGGTCGCAGTGAGAGAAAAAGGGGGAGACCTGAGGACTCTACAGAGGGATGCAAGGGTGGAAGGAAGGGCTGATTTGGAGTCAGGCAGCAGGAGGGGGTATGAGGCAGTCAGTGGAGAGGACAGGAGAGATCATGAAGGTGCTAGAAGGGGAGGAGGCCTGAGGGCAGCCCATACTGGCTTGCCCTTGGAGCTGGAGCCCTTCCGGAGTCTCCTGGCTTCTGCCCTTCCCAGCAGTGCTGTGGATCAGTATTCAGCAGCCGAGGAAAACAGTGGGAAATAACGATGCTCATCTCAGGCTTTGTGTTGCTTCCAGGGCTCCCAGATAGCTCAGGGGAATGCTTAAAACCATCAAGGCAAACTATTTAATTTTGCTTTGAAGATTTTGCCATAACACTTGAAAAGTTTGGCTATTTTAATTACAAAAGCAGTTCACACTTGTGTAGTAATATAGAAAATTAGAAGGGAGGAGAAAACAATTTTCCAGAGTCCCAGCATGTGGAGTGAAGGCCCAGCCAGGTCAGCCCAGAGGCAGCAACAGGTAGACCAGCGGCTCCCAGGCGTCTTCTAGAGCAATAGTTCCCAACCTTTTTGGCATCAGGGACCAGTTTTGTTTAAGACAATCTTTCCACCCGGGACCAAGGTTGGGGAGAGGAGGATGGTTTGGGGATGAAACTGTTCCCTCTCAGGTCATCAGGCATTCGATTCTCATAAGGAGCACATAACCTAGATCCCTGGCATGTGCAGTTCACAACAGGGTCACGCTCCTATAAGAATCTAATGGCCCCCACTGATCTGATGGGAGGTGGAGCTCAGGTGGCAATGCTCGCTCTCCCACCACTCACCTCCTGCAGTGTGGCCTGGCTCCTAACAGGCCACGGATCAGGACTAGTCTGTGCCCGGGGTTGGGGACCCTGCTCTAGAGAGCTGGCTTACTGCAGTGAGGTGGTTGGCGGTGCCAGGCTGGCCCTGGTTTCCTGCAGTCTTGTAGAGCCACCCCCGAGTCTCAGGATGCTAGAGTGTCCTCAGCAATACATTCCCCAAGTCCCTTCATGAAACTCAAGTCAGGGATTCTTTAGAAGGAGATACTTTGTCCAGGCGTGAAGTCAAGGCTGTGTTCATTCCAGAGAATGATGAACAACAGTACCTTCTCCATGACCTGGTGAGGGAAAACATGCAATTCACAAGCCATGTTTATCGTACAATTCTATGAACAGTTCTATAAAGAGAAGAAAGCTTTTCTCTCTTTAAAAAGTTTGCATTTATTTATTTTTTGAGATGGGGCCTTACTGTGTTGCCCAGGCTGGAGTGCAGTGGTCCCAGGCTCAAGCAATCCTCCCACCTCAGCTTCTTGAGTACTTTGGACCACAGATGTGCACCACCACACCTGGCTAATGTTTAATTTTTTGTAGACAAGGGGGTCTCTATATTGCCCAGGCCGGTCTCAAATTCCTGAACTCAAGAGATCCTCTCGCCTCGACCTCCCAAAGTGCTAGGATTACAGGCATGAGCCACTGCACCTAGCCTCTTTCTATGAAGTTTTTAGATTCAAAAGAGACTGTAAAGCTTGGCCCCACACTGTTATGAGGTGTGATCTCCTGGTGGTGGGGTTCTGCCTGGGTTTTCTTTCCTTGCTTTTCTCTACTTATTCTAAAATTTCCACAACAGACATGCATTACTTTTATTTTGAAAAATATATGGATACCTGTGTACATGGTTTAAAAATACATACGTAGTTTAAACTGTATATAAATATACAATTGACAGTCCATCTCTGGCTGTCATACCCCCTTCTTTGTGTGAGCGGGGGAAGCCCTGTGTGCCTCCCTGCGGCGCTCTCCCAGGCCTGCTTCCCGTGGGTCAGTCTCTCCTTTGGCTTCTCCCGCAGGTCATCAACGGGCTGGTGCAGACCACCGGCTGGCCCAGCGTCGTCACCTGCCTCGGCAACTGGTTTGGAAAAGGAAGGTGAGGAAAAGCAGCCCTGTTTCCAATAGCAGATGAAGACTAGACCATTTTACTTTGAGTTTTTTTGTAGACTGATTAGAGCAAAAACACTTTAGTATCCTCTTTAAAATAAGATGGCTGAAACCTCTGGGGCTTGAATTGCTGAAATTCAGATGGCCTGTGTCCCACGAGACGGGAGCTCCTCCCTCCCACTGTGGGCCCGGTGGAGTCTGTGTCACTCGACGGCTCATCTGACAGCCGCATCTGGCCTCCCGGGTGTTGTGGGAGATGCAGAGTCCAGGACCCTGCCCCAGGCCTTTTGAAGCCGAAGCTACATGTTAACATGGGAGTTTGGGAATTCCCAACCTGCGTCACCCAGCACACAGCACCAAAGTAGCAGAGCTGGGACCCAGCCTCTGGCGAGTCCAGATTTATTTGTAAATGGCTGTGTAAACTTCAGCTCAGCCAAGCCAAAGGCTTATTTGTGGTGGAAGATACCAAACAAGATGCAGAAGCTAAAACGGGAACACCGGCGTCATCAGGTCTTAAGTCTTAGACACTGTGCCTCATTCACCTGGTGTGTACCTCCATGAGTTTTGTTCAAATGACAGTTCATCAAGTGACTATGTATTAATTGATTGCAGAGGTACAAATTTTAATTTCAGGCCTTCCAAGACACTCAGGGAAAGGCCTCTTTCTTCTTGAGTACACAAAGCGTTCAGAGCAAGAGGTGGAATGGGTGATGGCACAGCCTGAGGCCACATAAACAGATCAGCTCTCGTGAGCATCGCGAGTCCTGCATGCTACGGAAGCAGAGTCTGCACGGTCCTCATTGATTCTGCACTGACTGCCTGCTTTACAGGCACTGCTGCGCCCTGCACTGCTGAACTCGTTTCAGCTTCTCAGCTCCATCTTCTGTCTTCTGTTTTGTTGTGTTGCAGGAGAGGTTTGATTATGGGGGTCTGGAACTCCCACACCTCCGTAGGCAACATCTTGGGGTCGTTGATCGCTGGCTACTGGGTGTCCACGTGCTGGGGCCTGTCCTTCGTTGTGCCTGGGGCCATCGTGGCAGCCATGGGGATAGTGTGCTTTCTCTTCCTCATTGAACGTAAGTGCACGTGGCCTTGGAGACCACCCACCAAGGGAGGCCTCGGGTTTCCCTGCTCGGGCGGGCCTCAGGGACGAGTGTGAGAGCTGCGTGGCCTAGCGCCCTGTTTGCCCGTGGCTGCCTCAGCGCTCTTCTTGTCAGGGAGACTTCCTTGGGGAGCCGGTTCTCTCCTGGTCTTGCTGGATTTTCTACTCTCCCCCGATTTCTGGAGTGACCCATGTCTACATTCCTTCCTCCCATCCTTCTGCCCTCCCTTGCCTCAGCATCAGGCGTTCGTGCCTGGGAGTCTTCCATTTCCCCACAGGCTGTTCCCTCTCACGCCCATCTTGCCACCGAAACCTGAATTGGACCCGGTCAGCTCTTTGCCTTCTGATAAGATATATCTTGGACAGTGTTATAAAAGACTTACTTAATATCTTAACTGGGTAAAAAGTATCTCTTGGAAAATCAAATCCCTTATTCCATTTCAGATTCAGTAGCAAACTTTTGATTTAACTGAATTTGAAATTCATTTTTGAAGTAGAGATCCGCCAGGCTCTGGTGCTGAGAAGACTCGGGACAGTTACAGCAAGAATAGAGACCCCCGGGTGGCCCCAGCGGTCACATGACAGGGGCTCGACTCCTGCCAGCCACTCTGATAAGCTGTACTCAACCCTTAGTTCTTCGATTGAGTTTAAAGCACCGTGAAACCATACGGCAGGAGACAGCTCCCTCCTGCTGCCTGCCCGGTAGGGACACTCAGAGCCAGCTCCCTGCAGCCATGCTGGGCATTGCGTATCACTTCAACTCTGCATGCAGAAGTTAATCCATATTCCATTTAGTTGCTCACTTTTTGTGTCTTGCAAAAACTAACCTTTTAATTTTTAAGATAACCATCATCCGGCCGCTCTGCGAGTTCGGAGACTCTCACCTCATGCTTCTCTGTTGGTGAAAATGGAAATAAACATTCAGATGAGGAATGTTCAGACACACACCCATTGCTGTGAGCAGAAAGTGGGGGCCCCGGTCTGCACTCAGCTCCCCTTTCGCCGCTTCTGCAGAGGCTGAGTAAGCCTTTGGCCACACCCTGGACAGCCTGAGCAGGGACCTTGTGGGATGGGTGGGGCTCTGGCTCCCTCATCAGTGGGCCAACTTGTGGCTTTCAGCTCTGGCTGGTGTGTCACTGCAGTTCTGAGAAAGGCCGTTTCCGCCACTGGTTTTCCGCTCTGATTCCTAGAACCTGGAGTTCTGTGCCCCTGCTGTCCAGGTGTTTGAGACACCAGCCACTCAGAGAATAATGTGCCTCTCTGTTAGCGCACAGGGGCCCCTGGCTGTCTCCTGCCTGAGGGTAGAGTCCACGGAGCCTTCTATTCTCTTCCTCAACTGGAAAGGGGCTGGCTCTGGGGAGAAGAGGACGTGTGGAAGGGAAAGGAGCTTGCTCAATGGCCGGGACCTCAGCGCCCGCTCCAGGCATTCGGGGTGCTGTGTTGATGCTTGTCTCTGTAAGCGGAGAGAGCCCGGCTCTTGTGAATAAGCCTCCCTGATCCAACTTGGGCAGATAGCAATGAGCCAGATGCCCCCTGTCGCTGGGTCCTCTCTGGCCACAGGCCCGCTCACCTGCAGGAGGGCTGCATGCTTCATCTCTAGCCAAACAAAACCAAGCTACCAGAACCTCGTGCCCAGGGAATCTGTCTGACACTCTTTCCCCTTGTGCCTGGGAGGTGCACTGTGTCTGAATGATGAGACCCAGCTGTGACAACAGTGGCTGGATGCTGAGTCTGAGAACGGGAGCTCTTTGCAGATAGGGAGAAAACATCAAGCACCCCTTGGTTTGTTTCTGCCCCTCCTGGTCCCGAATCACCGACCCTGAGTAGGTACTAAAGGCATCAGACGCGCCATTCTTGCGATCAACAGAGGATATGGCTTTCTCTGCTACGCCTTCACTCCTGTCTCCTGCCCAGGGTGAGCCCCAAAGGACAGGGCGTCCCCTGCTCCCTTCTCAGGCCTCTCTAAGTCTCCTTTATGAAGCTGTTCTCAGATGTGTCCCAGCCAAGGGACATGTGTGCTCAAGTCTCTCAAGGTGAAAGTCCTGGAAGAGCCATATCAGGGGGACCCCCTGGCTTGCCCCTGGGGGCATCACGTTGTGAGTGGATACAAATGGGGTGAGTTGGCTGATGTCCTTTAAATTGGTGACCACACATCACAGGTGGACCATTGGGACTGCCCAGCATGCCGACCACGTGTCCTTGGTCAGTGGCCTCGCCCTGTGGGCTGTGCCCAGGACAGGAGGGCAGCATACCCCACAGCCAGCCGCGGACCTCTGGGTGCAGACCCACCTGGCCCTATGGCATGGGCGGGGCCTCGAGGCCAGCAGGAGTGTGCTCGGCGGCTGCATGCCTCTCCATGACGTCCCCCTGTGTTGTGTGGGAATGGACTTGGCCGTGGGAAGCCTGCAGCCCTGGAGCTCAGTTCGGGTTGCAAGCCAGTAACCAGTTTCATCCAAGGTGATAAAGGTGCTGGGTAGTCAGGGGGGCTGCAGAGATGGAGCGAGAAGCAGTAGCGCTGGTTTCCCGCGGCACCTAGAGCCCTGGGGTCTGACTCTGGGTTCCCACCTTGCTCAGGGCAGGTCGCTGGCGTCTGTGAAGGACAAGCTGAAGCCTCACTTCTGGTTCTGCTCCTTTTCAAGTTTCCTCCCTTCCTGGTGTTGACATAAAGATGTTTGTTCCGTATCAAGATAGATGTTTTATCTCCACTCATTTTTATTTCTAATGAATTTCATAACATGAAGTACCTCATTACAGACATTCTTCCAGCCTCGCTCCCCTGCTGTGCTTTTCCTGGCTTTGCTTTCCTTCTGGGGCTTGTCCTCTGAATGTGAATCATGGACTTGTCCACACGGCGTCTGCATGCTCTGCTTGTGATTATTGGCCACGCTGGGAAGTATTTTCCATACGTAAAGTAGTGTTCATGTTCACAGTGTTGGCATTGGCTGGCGGTGGTCTACCATACCCACCTTGCACACAAGTGGGCTGCCAGGCCGGGTGACTGGGGACAGGCAGGGCATGTGTGGGGTCGCTGGTGGGCCAGCCAAGCTGTGCCCTTGCCCTCACCTGCCATGCTATGGCAATGGCTTTTTTCTGAAATGAATGCCGATTTAGTAAAGGTATCAGATGGCATCTTGTGTTTTATTAAATTTTATTGTGTATATTTAAGGTATATAACATGGTGTTACAGATACATAGAGATCGTAAAAAGGTTACTAGTAAAGCGAAGCAAGTTAACATAGCCATCGCAACTCACAGCTGCCCGCTTTTGTTTTTGTGGCACGAGCAGCTCAAATCCACTCATTTAACGTGAATCCCACATACGGTCCAGTTTCACCGCCGGTGCTCCCGTGTTGCCCTGCCCTGGGGTCCCGTAGCTTACTTGGCATTGCCATGGTGGTGGACCTGCTCAGCCTGGACTCATGTTTACTCTTTCAGATCCGAAGGACGTCAGGTGCTCCTCCACCCTGCTGACGGTAAGGACCCTGTTTTCTTGTCCTCTTCTAGAACAGTGTGCAGTTCGCCAAGTGTTCTGACCACTTCCCCAGCCTGCTCCTGCCTTTGTGGTGTCAGACAGAAACACACAGGGTAGACAGAAGTCCCACCCTCAGAATATTGGCAGTTCTAGGAATAGAGAATACTCTGTTCTGGGTTTTGCTGATAATAACCTTATCAACAAAACCCAAACAAGAGGTTCGATGCCATCCAGATGGAGGGCTTCATGCTAAGGGAAACCAAAGGCTGGGTCCTGGCCAGGCCTCCTGAGGGGTGGAGACCTCCTGGTTTCCCCGGGGGCCTCAGCGTGACTGAGGAAAAATGCATGTGTCAGCTGGCTGCCATCACTTAAGTTGGTGGCTACACATCTCAAGTGGCTGAGAGGTCTGCCCAGCACCCCATTCCTTCCCTTCTTTACCCCTGCCCAGCTCAGCCAGCGTAGGCCCTGCAGGCAAGATTGCTAATCGTGTCAGCTGCCGTGGACGAGCCCTGCCCTAGCTGCCTCTGCCCACAGCGAGTCACCACTGGCCACTTTCCCACCTGGCTAAGGCCAGCCCTCCCGTGGTACCAGTCGCCTCCCTCTCGTGGCCCAGGGCTTGTCTCCTGCAGACACACCCCCTGCCCCAAATATCATTCCTGGCACACTCATGTAGTACTGATGGCTGTCTTGGAAGGAAGCCCCTCTGGCTCTCATGCCTGCTCCCAGCTGCCCCACTCCCCGTCTCCACTGGCATGACACCCCTCCTCTCTGCAGGCCACCGCCACCCCATGGTAACAGCCCATCCAGGTCCCAGCAACATCACCTGGCCACATGGGGAGGTCAGCTCTCCGGCCTCACCCTGCTGGACCTGTCACCTGCATCTGACCTGATGCTTCCCTCCCTCTGAGAAAGGCTCCCCTCCCAGGGCTAACATGCTAGTCACATCTGTGCCGAGTTTCAGACCCCAGATGTGGGGGTGCCCCCAGGCTGCTTCATGGCCTCCTCTCTCCTTGTCTGCCCACTCACTGCAGGAGAGTGCGCCCGGGCTTTTTAGCGCCCCCAGGTGCGTTGATGTCAAGTCCCCATGCTGTCCCCAGAGTGACCCCTCCCCTGAACTCCACAATCTGAGATTTCACCGCCACTCAACCTTCCCACGGAGATGTCTGGGTGTCCTTCAGACAACACGACCAGAGATCTCTTGATTTTACCCCTGAACACACCGATCCCCCAGCATCCCCCGTCTCAGTCAGGAAGCTGCTGTCCACCCTGTGGACAGGCCAGACCCGAGAAGCCAGCCCAATGCCCCTTCAGCCCCGCACCCCATCCTTGGCCATGTTCTGTCAGTTCTGCTCTGTGAGGGGGTGTGGAATGGAAACACACCTCCTCCCCCTCTACCACCCTGGTCCCCATCACCACCATCAGCTCTCCCCCGAGCCACTGCTCATCACACCCTGGTCCCCGTCTCCACCGTCAGCTCTCCCCCAAGCCACTGCCCATCACACCCGGGCCCCTATCTCCACCGTCAGCTCTCCCCCGAGCCACTGCTCATCACACCCTGGTCCCCATCACCACCGTCAGCTCTCCCCCGAGCCACTGCTCATCACACCCTCGTCCCCGTCTCCACCGTCAGCTCTCCTCCGAGCCACTGCTCATCACACCCTCGTCCCCGTCTCCACCGTCAGCTCTCCCCCGAGCCACTGCTCATCACACCCTGGTCCCCGTCTCCACCGTCAGCTCTCCTCCAAGCCACTGCTCATCAGCTTCCTAGAACGATGCACTTTGCTCCCCAGAATCTCTTCTTCACACTTCACTTGCAGAGACTGTCTTGAAACAGACGTCAGAGCACATCAGCCCCTGCATAACACAGTCCAGTGGCTCCATGTCACCCCATGTGAAATCCTCACCAGTTCATCTGGTCGATCTCTGTCACCCTCACAGAAAGGTGTGAGCCCCTCCGGCCTGGATCATCTCTGGGTCCCGGCGCCCAGAGCACCACCGGGCCTCGTGCAGGAGAGGGAGCTAGAGTCCTCTTTCTGTCTTTTAATACATCGGGCTCCTGGGTGTGATTCATACGGAAAGAAGGGTTCTGATACTTGATGACAAAAACAAAGAAACGAAAGTTGCAAACCAGTGCCTTCAGGAAGGTCAAACACCATATGATGTTTTTAAAACTATAGTTGATATTTTAAAATGTTTTTAAAAGCCTAGTTCCTCCCACGAGCATGAATTTCAATTTCCAAGCTTGTACAGTTGTGCTGTGAAGTAGCTTAAAGCTGCCTGGATCACCCGTCTCGAGACTGGGGAGAACTTCAGCACACACCTTCCGCCCTGGAACATCTTCTGCCCTCTAAGAAGAGCTTTTCCCACCAGGGGCAGCCAGGCCTGAGGATAGGAAGCAGGCATGCAGGGGGTTTGGGGGAGGGCGGGTCTTCCTCACACACAGCTTTTAGGAATATGAGAACGCATCTAAGCGAGAGGCCTTGCTTCTGCTCCTTGTACACACGAGTTTGGGGCTGAAGCCTGTGTTTCATTCTCCCCGTTCAAATCCTCTCCAAGCAGTTCACCGAGATCTAAGCGAGGGGCTTTGCTTCTGCTCTTTTGTGTGTGTGAGTTTGGGGCTGAAGCCTGTGTTTCATTCTTTTTGTTCAAATCCTCTCCGAGCAGTTCACTGAGATCCCATGGTGCCCAGGTGTCCCCGACGTGCCATGGGGCAGGTGGTCCAGAGAAACAGCTTCTCATCCCCTTTCCTCTCCATGTTGGCTGGTCGCAGAGGGAGAGATGACTGATATCTGGGGATATTTCATCAGCTTCTGCAAACAGCCCCAAAGTTCTTTTTCCTGCAGGAATGTTACCTGCTCTGTGCAGGACACTGACAAGACCCTTGTCACAGGCCTTCCCGAGGGAGCTGAGGGCAGTTTGGCCAATGTCCCAATAGCTGCTGTCCTTCTGTAGTATCTTCCCTTTATCACAAATGGGCGCAAAATGCATTTGTAAGAGATTTCAGATATGCTGACTTGTTCTGGGAAGTTCCCATGTGGAAGTGTTATTTTTAGGATAAAGTTCTAATTTTTTCCAATATTTCAAAGTTTTTGTTATGGAGACTTTAAACATATAAAAAGGTAAAAATAACAGTATAATGAACCCCTCTGTACCCCATCACCCAGGTTTCCAACAGTTGGCCAATCTGATTCAAACGCTCCTTCTAATACTGCCCCTTCCCACCTCCTGCTGATGTATTTTGCAAGCAAATAGCAATCATCTTAATATTTTGTCTCTGACTACTTCAGTATGTTTCCAAAATATAAGGACCCTTTTATGTGAAACAAAATGTGATATACCATTATCACACTTAAAAACCAATGGCAAAGAATAGAAAAATAGTAGAAAAAAAATCAATGAAACCGAAAGTTGGTTCTTTGGAAAGATCAACAAAATTGATCATTCTGCACCTAGACTGACCAATAATAAAGGAAGACTCAAATAACCAAAATCAGGACCAGGAAAGGTGGCATTTCTGCCACCTTTACCAAAATAAAACAGATTATGAGGGAACTATATGCCAACAAATTAGAAAACTTAGAATAAATAGAAAAATTCATAGAAGGACAGAAACTACCAAAACTGACTCGAGAGAGAGGAAATCTGAATAGATCTAAAACAAGTAAAGAAGTTGAATTGTTAATTTTAAAATTTCACTCAAAGAAAAGCCCAGGACCAGATGGCTTTACTAGTAAATTCTGCCAAACGTTGAAAGAAGAGTTAATACTAATTGCTCACAAACTTTTTCAAAAAATAAAAGTAGGGGGAAACTTCCTGATTCATTCTATGAGGTATTATCATAATAACAAAAGACTAAAACCTCTTAAGAAAACTGTACACCAGTATCTTTTATGAGTGTAGATGCAAAACTCAATACCAGCAACCTGAATTCAGCCACCTACAAAAGGATTATATACCATGATCAAGTGGGATTTATCCCAGGAATACACAGTTGGTTTAACAGGTAATGTTAATGTAATACTCCACATGAATGGATAAAGGACAAAAGCTGCATGATCATCTCAGTATAAGCAGGAAAAACATTGGACAAAATCCAACACCCTTTCATGTGAAAACACTCAACAAACTAGGAACAGAAAGCAACTTCCTGAACCTGACAAAAGGCATCTAATGAAACCCACACCCCGGAGCTTAATGGTGAAGCGGGTGCTTTCCCCCGAGATCAGGAGCAAGACGAGGAGGCCTGCTCTTGCCACTTCTATTTACCATCGTACTGCAAGCAGGACAGTTAGACGAGAAAAGGATAAACGGCATGCAGATTGGACAAGAAGTAAGACTACTTCTCTTTGCAGTTGACGTGATCTTTTATACAGAAAATCATAAGGAGTCCTCAAAAAAAATGGTTAGAGTGAATTAACAAGTTAGCAAGGTTGCAGGAAACAAGACCAGTATACAAAAATCAGTTATATTTCTATAAACTAGCAATCAACAATCCAAAGATGAAACTAAGGCCATTTCATTTACAATAGCATCAAAAAACATGATGCTAAGCAGAAGAAGCTAGTCACAAAAGGTCACATATTATATGATTTCATTCATACGAAATGTCCAGAATAGGCAAACCTGGAGACAGAAAGCAGATGAGTGGTTGTCAGGCACTAGGGTGGAAAGAAAGGGAGGATGACTGCTAATGGGTATGGGGTTTTTTGAAGGTGATGAAAATGTTCTCAAATTTTAGTGATGGTTGCAAAACTCTGAATTAAAAACAACTGAATTGTGAACATTAAATAAGTGAATGGTACAGTATGTGAATTCTGTCTCAACAATGCTATTATAAATTTTTTAAATCTATAATCCTTTCTGTTATCACACAACTACTCAGTGGTCAGATCTGCTGATTGTCTCATAAATGATTTTGCACTGTGTTTAAGCAAGGCCTAGGCAAGGTCCACTTCTTGTGATTGGTGAATTTAATATGCCTCTTAAACCTCTTCTAATTTATGAGACCTCAATGTTTGGTTTTTTGGTTTAGTGTTATTTTCCTTTGAATTATTTTTGTCAAAATAAAAAATGGTCATTTTTTTTCTGCCAAGTTTCCCACATTTGAGGCTTTGCTGACCTTGTGCCTGGGGTGTGTTTCACATTTCCCTCTATCCCCTGTATCTCCTGTAAACTGGAAACCTTGATCGGATCCAGATTTGATTTTTCTAATTAGTTTTTGTTTCAAATGAATCACAATTAATATGAAAGAGAATATTCAATCCTTTACCGTTTGCCTTGAGTCTGAGGGTGCTAATAAGAATGTGTATCTTTATGCTTCTGCCCTGTGCTATTGAAGAGCCATAGGGACTTGTTCTTTTGATTTATATTTGATTTCTAGGTTACTTAGGTTTAGAAAATCTATTTTGTGCCCTAATCTGGGACTTCATTGGGTCCAAAACCCTGTATCAGTTGTGCCAAAATTAATGCTTTTTATTAATATCTTCGTATTAGTTGGGGTTGTGTTCAGCAGCAAGCAATAGAAAAGCCCACAGGCAGTGACTAAAACAAGATTGGAAGGCATTTCCCTACTCTATTCAAGAAATCTAGAGCGAGCCAGCCCAGGATGGTGTGGGGTGTGTGTGTTCAGTGTCAGGGACACAGACACCTCCTGTCTTTTCATTCTTCCCCTGTGCATGGCTTCATGCCAAAGGTGATATATTCTAACCAGTTAGAACAGTGCCTGGCACAGAGTTGATGCTTAATAATTATTTGTTGAATGAATGAGTGAATGATTGGTCAGTGGCTGCTGGAGCTCTAGCCATTACATCTGTATTCCAGCCAGCAGGAAGGAGGGAAAGGAAATTAGGGACAGGCCGCTTCCCATTCAGGAGACTTCCTAGCATTTCCTAACATTATTTCTGCTTAGCTGACCACATCAAACTGAAAAGGAATTGTAAGATAGGCTTTGCCTGAGCACCCACGTTCCTGGCTGAAAAGCAGAAAGAAGAGGGCCCAGGTAATGCTGGCGGCCTCTGCATACTGTGGGGGGCCCAAATGCTGGGGAGCAGGAGCCCATCTCTGCTTCTGCCTGGAACGGTCGGAGATTGAACCGGCCAGATCATCACCCCTAGCCTGGCAGGCTTTGCGCTCCATCTGAGCACAAAACAAATGTATTTTTAAAGATAGTTTGTTACATTTTCAGGTAATAAAATCAGTAGTTTTTCTTAACCTTCAGAAACCTTTTCAGGGGAAATGCCTCGAAATGTAAAGGGTGGGATCTAACTGTGCATCTGAATGAAGTTTAACCCATGCTCTGTCTTCCCTGTGTTTCCCGCCGTTTGGAGGCCTCGTAGATCTCTACTTGCAGATCTCACAGGTGGCGTGCGAGCCTGGTGGTGTTTTCTCCTCAAATGGATCCAGCACCAGTGCCAGAAACCTAAATCGCCTGGGCCTCTCTAAGCCTGAGAAATTGTTTTGTTATGATTTATACTAGAGTGAATGAATAACATCTTTCTAAGTACAGACTAATTCCTTATTTTAAAGGAAGTTTGCTTAGACTATTTCTTAAAGAAAATGAAATTTTACCATTAGAGAATTTCAACAATTATTTTTATACCATTAATTATCTTCAAAAGGGGTTCTACATAGAGCCCTAAAGAAATAATGATTAGGAAATGGTACGTTTATTCTAGTGCCCAAGAAACTGCCTTCATTTCTTCACTTTTCACTTGGTAACAGGAGATAATTCGGAAATGATTTTGAGGTTTGGCGCTCTCAGCGCAGTCCTTCCACATCCCTACCCCCTAGCGGCAGGTGCGCATTCTGGGGCTGTTGAACGCATTCTGGGCTTCCACACTCTCCTTCCGTAGGGAGGGTTTTCTTCCTGCAGAAGCAATCGGCTGGCCTAGGGAGGGCAGGTGTTCCTCACATGTTAAACGGAAAGATGGTTCTGTGCCTTTTCATTTCAAAACCGTTGAAACAATTTCACAGCCATTAAGAAAAGTTAATGGATATTTTTACATTTGGTTACACCTCTGTCTTAGCCCTTTCTTCAAGAGAGGATTTGATTTTCACATTCTATTATCTGAGAGTCTGGAGTGTTGAGACCAACCATTACTCTGTTTAAATCAGTTGTCTTATGTCCTCTTGGTAGCTTTTTTGGGACAATAGTAAGTATCCTTGCTACAGGAAAGCCAGGTTTAATTTCTAGCTGTTGAATCAGTATTGCTCTAATGAAACTTTTTTTTTCCCCCAGCACTCAAAAGGCTCTGAGAATGGTACAAACAGATTGAGACTCCAGAAGCAAATCTTGAAGACCGAAAAGAACAGGCCTCTGGTAAGTCACACACACTTCCTAGAATGTCGGAGCTGCAGGAAAACTCCTTTGAGCCTCGTCAGCTCTCTCTGTCCCTCTGCCTATGTGATGTGTATCACAAACATCCAGGTCTTAAAAAAAATTAGGTCTCATTGAATTTCTTCAGTAAAATTTGAGTTTGCCCTTATTGGCTTTCTTTGGATTTTACACTTAACCAATTCATTCATTCAGCAGCTCCGCAGCTTTCAATGTCCCAGGCACTATTTCAGGTGTGGGGGGTGGTGCTGGTGCAGACGGAAAGCAAGCAGAGACATCCCCCAAGCGGTGCCAAGTACAAGGAAGACAGACTGAGCAGACTCTATTTTCAGCTGGCCTTGGGGTAGGCTTCCCTAGGCAGACAGTGTTGGAACAGAGCTGTGAGAGACTGGAGGGAGAGTCTGCAGGTGCCTGAGCACAGAGGGTGTCAGGGTGAGGGGCGCATGGTGGGTTGGCCACATGAGGTGCACACAGAAAACTGACACCATGCGACCAAGAAAAGGTAAAGGAGAAGCAGGTAACAGAAAGAGGCATCTCCCCTTCCCCCGTGTCACAGATGAGGAATTCGGGACACAGAAATGCTAAGTTAATCTGCCTTGTCCTCTGCAGTAGTGGGGAGCCCTCAGTGCAGGCTCTGACCACCGCTGGCACCTGAGCCTCCTGTCCCCTACCCTTCCCATCCTCAATCCTCGTAGAAGCTCCTCACATTGCTGCTGCTTAGCTGACCACACCAAGACACAGCAGGCATTTTAAATTTGAGTTTAATCATTGAAGTTATAAGCTGTTCTCTTTCTAAATCAGGGTTTTTGTTTTGTTTTGGTTTGGTTTGGTTTGGTTTTTTGTTTTGTTTTGAGACAAGGTCTTACTCTGTCACCCAGTCTGGAGTGCAGTGGCACGATCTCAGCTCACTGCAACCTCCGCCTCCTGGGTTCAAGCGATTCTCGTGCCTCAGCCTCCCGAGTAGCTGGGATTACAGGCACCCACCGCTACCTCTGGCTGAATTTTATATTTTTTAGTAGAGACAGGGTTTCACCATGTTGGCCAGGCTGATCTTGAACTCCTGACCTCAGGTGATCCACCCACCTCGGCCTCCCAAAGTGCTGGGATTACAGGCATGAGCCACCATGCCCGGCCTCTAAATCAGGTTTAACCTGATTTAGGTTTAACCTTCTACAGACACAGGGCCTCCTCTGGGAGAGGGCTCCCTCCGGCATGTGTGAGGGGCTGCTCTCCCTACCTTTTAAATCAAATGGCTTAAAGGATTAATGTACTAAACATGCGTCTCACTTTTTTATTGACTGGGGAAATTTATTTGTGGTGGCTGAAATATTAGAAAAGGAAAAAATGATGTCTCATGCATCTGGGTTCTTGGATTTTAAGGAAATCGCAGGCAGTGACTAATTTAACCAAAATGCTTTAAAATCTGTACTTCTGAATTCACATTTAAACAAATCATGTCCCAATCAGTGTCCAAAAGACTGTGGCCCCTCTCTGATGATACTGAAGCCGGCCACCTACTCTGAATCAAGACCACAGGCCCTTTCTTCTGGTGCAGTAACTGATCCATAAAACTAGCCCTGGCTTCTGAGTATAGCTTCTCTCTTTCCTTTTCTGGCCCTTCTAAGAAAGGCTGTTTACAAACTTGCTGTCAAGGAGTCAGTTATGTAAGTAAAGGCACTGGCAGGCCTTGTTTCAGGCTGAGGGTGACACTTCAGATGACCAAGACCGGGCGTGTGCTGGCCGCGCTTGCGTGGCGCCCCCTTTCGGCAGGCCTGCCATTGCATTTGGGTCAGGGTCAGCAGGGAGAGTGCCCCGCGAGGTTGGCTGGACACCCTGGATGTCCCCTTTCCCAGAGTGACCACTGGGCCCCTGACCTCCTTTTCAGACAGCTGCTAAATTATGTCACATGGCAGGCACTTTCTCCGTGGCCTCGTGAAGAGACGTGTAAAGAAAGCTGCAGGGTGGGGAGCAAATGTGGGAAAGAGAATGAGGCTCTGCTGTCACTTGGCCACATGGTGAGCCCACAAGTCCCCGTGGGCATTTTAGAGGATTGTTTTGGGAACGGTCACACTTGCTGTCCCTGTTGTCACTTGTCACTTTTCCTCCTTGACGTCTCTGAGGATCCCTCTGATTGACTGTGGCTTAAGAACTGTTGGGCCCACCAAACACGGCATGAGCGCGGAGTGGGTATTTGGAGGTTGAATGTGACTCCGCCATGCACTTTGCACGCCAAGTGGGGACTCCACAAATCTCTCTGCGATGGCCTTTCCTAAGGGAAGCTGCGGGCAGCATCGGGTAGCGGGGTGAGCTTAGCATTTTTAGATACAGCAGTCATTATTACACAGTCCCCCCACGTGCATCTGTGTGGATTTTTGTTGTGTGTGTGCGTGTGTGTGTGCGCGTGTGCGTGCGTGTGTGTGCGTGCGCGTGTGCGTGTGCGTGCGTGTGTGCGTGTGTGTGTGTGTGTTTTAGTAGAGGGAGCCCTTTTCTCTTTGAAAGTGTAAGCCCTAAGCGTGGAGTGCACTGGCCACAGAAGCCCCCACACCCGCTGGCGGCTCCACAGATCCCATCTGGGGCTCTTGGGACACAGACTGGAAACTGCTTGTTTAGAGGCAGAGGTGCCTCTTGGCCTCCAGCCTTGTCTTGGTCCACCCGGTGGCTTCTTGTTTGCTATGTAAGGAGGAGGCAGCAGCAGCCCCCCTGTTTGTTTTGGAAAACCAGCCATGGCCCCACACTTTCTTTCCCATCTCCTCCAGAAGCAAACAACTGGGGCGTGGTGGCTGCAAGTCCTGTTTAAGATGAGTGGGTGTGAGCACAGGGCCTGTTCCCAGCAGAAACAGAGCCTTCTGTCTGTCTAGGGGGCTCCTTGCTGCTTAGATAAGGAGCAGAGGGTCTGTGTCTGTGGCTTTAAACCAGCCCAGCAAGTGGACCCTGGAGCACTTCACAAATCCTGCAAGGGCTGTGGGTGGCCCTTGGGCATCTGGGTCCTACCTGAGGCCAGGTAGATCTTCTGTGTCGACCTGCAGTCACTTCTGTGTGGGTCAGAGGGTGCGCTTCTCCTGCCTAAGCGGCCTCTTTCCACTTGACTTTTCTCCAGCTGGTTGCATTTCACCCACTGCTTAGCCTGTTTCCTACAGAACAGCCTGTGAAGTCCTGTAGCCCTCAGCTTGCTATGAGTGGAACTCGCCTGGGGCTGCCTCAGGGGCTGCCCCAGGGACTGCTTCAGCTGGGCTGGGGGATTTCGGGGCTTCTCAAAGCCCCCCACAGAAGATTCCAGTGTTTAGCCACAGTAGAGCATTACTGATTCAGTTTCCTAAACTGGACGATTAGCAGAACTCATGAGAGAAATTGAGTTTATTCTGAAAAGTTTATTCTGAAAGTTTATTCTGAAAAATGAGTTTATTCTGAAACTCAGTCGCCATTCTTCGTTTTCACATGCCGTGATGGAATTATCATCGGAAGCATGTTAGGCATTTGCACTCAGGCTTGTCATCTTCATTCCAGAGCACCTGACTATGTGGTCACATGTGAGTATCTTCATCAGAGACCCGCTCTCCATGCCAGAGTCCTAGCCGTGAAGCCGGGCTTCCTGGGGGACGTAGATACTGAGCTGCCGCCGAGGCCACCCGCTGGGTACCCACACTGGGCTGCGCTCAGTCCCACCTGCCACCCGGTTTCCAAATTTCTTTTTTCCACTGGAAGAGAATTATAAATATCAAGGGACAGGGGAATGTGGAATACATTACCATTTCCTTTCTTTTTTTTTTTTTTAATTAAACTACATTTTTAGTCCAACTTAAAACAGGTTATAGTGAGATAAGTACCACAAGGCTGTTTGATTTTGTGAAAGGTCTGAGATACATAGAAGCATTTCTTTGTAAGACCTTGAACCTCATCGTTCATTCATGAAGAACATTTTTATTTTATTTTCATTCTTTTTTGAGACAGGGTCTTGCCCAGGCTGAAGTACAGCCCCACAATCACAGCTTACTGCAGCCTCAACCTCCTGGGCTCAAGTGATCCTCCTGCCTCAGCCTCCAGAGCAGTTAGGACTATAAGCGCATACCACCACATTCCACTATTTTTTTTTCCCTAGAGATGAGGTCTTATGTGTGGCCCAGGCTAACATTATTTTTATGTTATCCTTGCTCTGACTTGAAATCCCACTGTTGGTTGGGGATCACTCTTCTTTGCTTTAATGAATGTACACTTTGTCCTTTAGGAACATCTAGATGATCAGAATTCATAAATATCAGAATAGGTGTATTTTAAAATAATGTTGGTGTATTTTAAAATAATGTTTCTGGTCATATATGGCCATTGTGAGCTCCTAAAAAATACACGATCATGTAAAGAATTTCTTATTAGCATTTTGATAAAAATTACACATAATTCTACCACTCAGTGACAAGCATTGTTGGCTTAGATTTTAGCTGCTTTCTTTCTAGAAATAGATCCTATAGTTGCCTAGTTATATATGTAGATATTTAAACATTATTTGAGGTTATAATGACATGCAGTTTTGAATGATGTGTTATTTAATGTGTCATAAGCATTTTCCTGTCATTAAAATCTCCCAACCTTTTTTTTTTGCAAGATGTCATTTGTATGGATGTATTTGAATTTTCTAATTTTTCTCGATGTGACATCCATTTTACTTTATACGTATTTTTTTACTTTTCAAATTATTTTTTGCAAATAGCTTCCTAGAATTTCTGGTTCCAAGGATGTGTGTACCTAGCTGTTCATGAAAATGCATGAATGCTAATCATTCTAACGCAGTGGCCACGTGGGAATGTCACCCAGGATGTCTCCAAGGCAGTGGAAGAGAGAGCCGCCAGGCACCCTCGTCATTAGGAAGCCTGGCCCCACTTCACCCAGACTGCCCGGCTGGTAACACCTTTCCCTTTTGTTCCCAATGGGTTTGCCTCCAGGACCCCGAGATGCAGTGCCTGCTGCTCTCAGATGGGAAGGGCTCAATCCACCCGAACCACGTCGTCATTCTCCCTGGGGACGGCGGGAGTGGCACGGCCGCCATCAGCTTCACAGGAGCCTTGAAAATTCCAGTAAGTAAACATGCCCAGGAGGAGTTTCAGAAGTTTCAGAAAGGGCTGCTGCGCTGGCTGTGGGAAGTCTGGTCAGTTGATGATTAAGCTTACAAAGAGATCTGTGGTTAT